CCAAGATTTGAGCGAATGAATTGCCATGCAGTCGCCCAGAGCTGTGACTTTGCTCTCGTCCAAACATTCGAGTCGCCCAGCATCTTAGCAAACATAAGAAGTTATGGTTACCCAAAAGTGCAGTTAATGAAACAGTTATTGGGTAGTCCTATCACGTTCCACGATTCAAGGAATTCAATTGAAGACGGTTGAATGACAAAAGGTAATGGCAGCAGTTAGAGAAGACAGTTCCATGACAAGTTGGCCACTACGAGGAAAGTAGGCAGTTATAGAGCGATCAAGCAGTTTTTAAGCGGTTGATCACGAAGAGATCATCCACCAATAGCACAAGCAAAGGTAAAGCATCAAAAAATGAATTACCTTCTGCTTCGACGTTTGGGGGGTCAACGCCCTGAGAAGAAGGTGGCTCGTCCATTAGTTGTGATGAAGATTCTGGGACTGAAGATTTCTCTTTAAGCGTAGTCCCTTCATCAGCTGGTTTGGATGAAGCAGTCCCAGCAGAGGATGATGGAGCAGGAGCTACCAACACCAAAGCCTTCAAGGGAGAGATTGAACTTTTCTGAGAAGTCCAAATAAACTATCAGCACATAGAAAAGTCTCAAGTATCCCTTGGAGGCATTCTGTTTTTATTTTCCAATTGTAAAGTCATCGCCAATAAAAACACCCCCTTTTTGGGACTTTGTCTCAAAAAGTTTGTCCCTTACACAATCGTCTGATTCCTTTTTAATTGTTAGCAACTAACCCGCGCGAAATAGCATGTTTCAACATCTGAGGTGACTAAATGCCTTGAATTAGTTATTCCTTATGATAATGTTGGTGACACCATAAACGAATACAAAAAGGTATGCTTATGAGTAAACCAATTTAATTACCTTCCTCCTGACGATGAGAGGGGTATCATCATCATCAGCATCATCCTCCAAAATGGAAGACGCTGAGGCTGGCCGTTTGCGGCTTGGAGCACTTTTAGCTCCAGTGGGCTTGGTAGGAAGAGAAGTCGATGGACGGATAGATTGTTTAGCACGAGCAGAGGAAGAGGGACTCCTAATGGACACAGGAGTGACCAAAACAGGAGAGGTGGAAGAAATGTTTGGCTGGTCCAGTGAATAGAAAGCACGATTGGCATCAGTCGCAAACAATCTGCGCTTCACTGACGGCCAGAGTCGTTCAAAAAGGGGATGGATGGCACGGCTAGGATTGAAGGGGGCTAATGAAAAGCTGCTCGTCAAAAGAATATTGCGAGCATTTATAGCCTCTGTCTCTACCTTATTAATGGTGTGGAAGCGGTCTATCAAATTCCTTGAATAGCAAGGGGGAACGGGCCAAGTTAACCAAGTTGGCGAGCAAAAAATTGGGGAGCATATATTTCTACCCCAACTTTGGCATTGGTCCCAGTCAAAATATCATGAAACAACTCCCTTCCGGTCAAAAACTGAATCCAAACAAGCAAGGAAGTGTTCGCACTATCCAGAGTGGATGGAGGTTGCACATAATCTGGAGTAAAAAAAGGAGGAAAATGAAAGAATGAAGGGATTGAATCCAAAGTATAAAATAATGAAAAAATGTCCCTTTTGGACATATTTACAGGAGTCAGGGGATCAATGGCTAGCCCATAGCAGCTAGCAAAAGGACTGAAAAAAGATGGAGCACTGAGCGATGGAAAATAGGCTCTCAACCACATATGAGTGAACCAAAGAGGCCTACTGTCAGTGGGAGATGCACCATTCTTCAATTGGGATTGAAGAGAAGTCATTGCTCTATAGAGGGCAGCTAAAAGAAAGAACATAAATTCAGAGGCCTACCACGCGCCAATTCATGCGCTATGGGTAAATAGCTCAGGGAGGGCTTTATGCTTGGCACACACAAAATGTATTTACAAAGCCAAATCAGAAGAAAGGCCACTCGCTCAGTATGGGAAGGCTCAGCGCTCGAGTGGTTATGAAGGGTTTGCAGGCTTGAATAAGACTCGTTGAGGCCTCTATCAAATTTTAGGGCAATACCAGAAATCAAAATATCAGGGAAAATGGTATCGCCCAAAGGTGGCAGATTTACTAGGGCCCCAACATCCCTTAAAGTAATGGACATGGGACCAAGAGGAAAAATAAAGGTATTATACTCAGAAGACCAAAAACTTAAAGCGATTGGAAAAAGTGTTGGGTCAAAAATAGGGGGTTGAAGAGAGATTTCTAACAAATCAGAAATCCTAGCATTATCAAAAATTGCCTTATTAGGACCATGGTCCACAAGGCGAGCATGCCATCTACGGAAAATGACATCAAATTTAGGCCAAGTGCGAATACCTCTTTCACGAAGTGGCCCCAGCGACAAAGAATTTAGAAACGGAGGACCTTGAGTACAAGGGAACAGCTGACCGACCGCCGCTTGTTTGATGGCCTCGACATTGTTGAATAAAGGACCTCGATAGAACTCATTGAGTTCGACATTGGCCGGTGCAAGGAAGTTCGGAGTTATATATGGCCGAGTAAGGAGTTTTTGAAAGTCTTCGAAGCTGAAGGAATCACCAGACTGGGATTGTGAAGCAGCCATTAGGGACGAAATAGAGTTTTTCAGAGTTACGTAGCAGAGAAGCAAGGAGATGAACAGTAATATTGCGAGAAAGAAGCGCGAAAAAATGAGGCGTGATTTAGTGGTGCAATGAAATGGCGTATTTGGGGGTTATAAGGGTTTGCAAACATCGTACCTTTTCAGGCTATGGAAGAAAACAATGATTGAAATTCTTGGGAATTTCGAATGTTGCTGGGAAACACAAAGTGAATATGGCAAAAATTAATAATTGGTATTAATTCTGCCATATTGGGGGGTAATTGTTGACACACAAAAAGTTCAGCCCAAGTCGAATAGCCCAAGGAATGAAGCCTAATTGGAAGATTCCCAAAATCAAATAGCCTAAAGAACGACCCAATCAGGCAATGCAGGATAAAGGCCCAAATAGGGAAGCCTATAAACGCGGTAATACCATTGCCCAAGGTTGTAAGTCGCCCAAGATTTGAGCGAATGAATTGCCATGCAGTCGCCCAGAGCTGTGACCTTGCTCTCGTCCAAACATTCGAGTCGCCCAGCATCTTAGCAAACATAAGATGTTATGGTTACTCAAAAGTGCAGTTAATGAAACAGTTATTGGGTAGTCCTATCACGTTCCACGATTCAAGGAATTCAATTGAAGACGGTTGAATGACAAAAGGTAATGGCAGCAGTTAGAGAAGACAGTTCCATGACAAGTTGGCCACTACGAGGAAAGTAGGCAGTTATAGAGCGATCAAGCAGTTTTTAAGCGGTTGATCACGAAGAGATCATCCAGGGAGTATAAAAGGAAGAAAAGACGTAGAGCAAAGGAGGCCGAATCAAACACTCTCAAACAGAGAATATGTAACTTTAAATTTCTTAGTTTAGATTTGAACACTTCTTTTTCAGTAACTCGTGCGCTTGCGCTCCTTGGAGGCATTCTGTTTTTATTTTCCAATTGTAAAGTCATCGCCAATAAAAATACCCCCTTTTTGGGACTTTGTCTCAAGAAGTTTGTCCCTTACACAATCGTCTGATTCCTTTTTAATTGTTAGCAACTAACCCGCGCGAAATAGCATGTTTCAACATCTGAGGTGACTAAATGCCTTGAATTAGTTATTCCTTATGATAATGTTGGTGACACCATAAACGAATACAGCATTGTTCCACACAAATGCTATTGCTTACAATGTGCTTAATTTGGTCTTATACATACTTTGTATTTTCATTAGAAAATCATAGCTAGCAATTGATAGGCGATTAGATGAAATTCTAAGCCATATTTGATCTTTAAACATAATTATACGCACACAAATCTTAAAATCTTTGAAAATCAAAATTAGCTTAATAAAATTTAGCAGAGACCTTTCCAGAAGATGAAGGGGTAGTTGATTAGTCAAGGAATAATTGTATGACAAATCTTGTATCCTTGGAGAAGATAAATAAAGGAATAATAGTCAAAGATTGGTGGGACCCCCTCCAAAGTCTACTCATCCCCGTCTTCCCTTCGCTTTGGGTCTAAGAAGGCATGTTTCGTGCTCTCTCTCTCACGCACACTTACACGTATACACAGACGTTTGAAATCTCAACTAAGGCCTTTCAATTCCCTATTATAAATAACCCAACTTTTCTCTCCTCCTGTAATTTGCTTATTATTACTTCCTTTCCAGCCATATAAATACATATAATCTTCTGCACCATGGCCTCTTTTGGTAGAGTACTTCTTGGAATGATGGCTTTCACAGTCTTAATCAGTGTATCTGCTGATCCAGACATGCTTCAAGATCTTTGTGCTGCTGATCTCACTTCTCGTATGTATTCATTTAACTACAAAAATTCTCACTTTCGAATATATCGTAGAAATTCATTGTTCGATAGTTTCGTTGAAATTCTTGCATGAATAAGATCTTCTATACTCTTAAATAACTGATATTTTTTCTGTAGTTATTCAATGGCCCTTTTTTGTTTTGTAATTTAGTTAGGTATATCTTGAAGGATCCCAACTTGTGGGTTGACTTAAACCTAGCCAAACATTCGATCTATTCCATCCTTTTATCTTTCGTAATTAATATTTACCTTGACTTTTAAGTTAAATTCTACCTAACTTGGTACAAATTAAAATCTAAATTTTAATCTTAGTCAAAGTCAACAACTAATTTTAGCCCCCGTTTGAGTCCCATTATTTTTCATTACATTAAATTAAATTTTTCTCTCTCCTACTTTTAACCAAACAATTTTCAATAAAATAATATAACACGTAAATCAAAAACTTTTCAACCTCTTACTTTTCAAAAAAATACTATTCATCTCATTATAATCTACAAATAATGGAGCTCAAACAGCCTCTTAACCACACATTTTATGGAACACACACTTTTCAAACACATATTTCAACAATTTTTATAAAAATCTATTAAAAATCTAATTTTAATCACCAATAAATTGTAATATCTTTTTAATTTTTGTTGTATGATTAAGTTATATTGACATATCTCTAGCTGAAATTTCAATTGTATCAATGAATAGCCGTGAAGGTGAATGGATTTGCTTGCAAGTCAAACGTGACAGCTGATGACTTCTTCTTCGCGGGGCTTGCCAAGCCAGGACCCACCAACAATTCCATGGGATCATTGGTGACCGGAGCCAATGTCCAAAGAATCCCTGGCCTTAATACCCTGGGCGTGTCCCTCTCCCGGATCGACTATGCCCCGGGAGGCATAAATCCACCCCACACCCACCCTCGTGCCACAGAAATGGTCTTTGTGCTAGAAGGTGAATTGAATGTTGGTTTTATTACCACAGCCAATGTCCTATACTCCAAGTTCATTAAGAAAGGTGAAATATTTGTATTCCCTAAAGGTCTAGTCCACTTCCAGAAGAACAATGGCAAGGTTCCGGCTGCAGTAATTGCCGCTTTCAACAGCCAGTTACCTGGAACTCAGTCCATAGCAGCCACATTGTTTGCTGCTTCACCCCCCGTGCCGGACAATGTTTTGACCAAGGCATTCCAAGTTGGTACCAAGGAAGTTGAGAAAATCAAGTCCAGGTTTGCGTCAAAGAATTAGTAGACTCTGCCACATAAAATTGAAGCATCTTTGATTTGTTGTGAAGGAATAAAGAATGCAAATTCGATTTCTTTTATTTGGGATATGGATAACGTTGTAATACACCAGTGAGAATTTGTTATCTCTTGTTTATAAAAATAAATTTTAACTTTTCAAATAATAATCTCAAATTTGAAGTACATATGGAACAAATTATATTTCACACTCCATAACAATGTTTATGCTGGATTGGATGGTATAGTGTGAAAAATAAAAGAATAAAAAAATTTGAAATTATATTTGTTATAAGTTGCGCCGAAAATATTTATACTGTTTACTTAGGAAAACCTAAAAATATGTCAATAATAGTAATAGGCCTGAAATCACTTCTTGTATAAGCATCTCACGTGAAAAGATAATAAAGACACACACTTCTTGGTCTATGTGCACTTATCAACCATCATTGGAAGTTTAAATTTAGACTCTAAAATTACCCAGAGAGGGTGAATGGGTGAATAACGCACAATTAAAATTACCAATTAAAAGCGACAAGTTACCTTTTAATTGGTCTAGATATTTCATTAATCAAGTTAATTTTTTCCTATGTTAAAATGTTGCAACAGTAAATAACATTAGATTTGTTAATGGAGATAATCCTTTACAGGATTAAAAATTTCGGAATCGAGCTAGGGACTTCAACTATAGACAATGAGAACTTACGACATGATCCAACCTAGAACATCTAATAGACTCGTTGATCTAATTCCTACAATCTCCAAAATCCGCTAAAACGTGCTTTACTTACATATGCTCCAATGTTATGAGGGTCATCAAGAACACCTTGTCTCATACTCTTTCTGTGCTTTTGGTCAATGTCCCAATCGTTAACAATCTTTGAAAGATATTAAGAAAGTACCTTCCGGATTATATTTAGAAAATGCATGTTTTGGATTTTATGATTTTGATATTTTTTTTGAACTTGTGGTTGATTGATCTCAAGATGTAGAATTAATTTTTGATCTCCAAAGAATGTTATGATGTTAAAAATTAATGATCAACGACCGTTTTCAAGAAGTAGAGCTTGTGTATTTGTAGTAGAGAGGTACTGTGGTAGTATAGGATAGATGAAACTCTTGAAAATTGCGAACTAGGGTTTCTTGAAAACACCGTCACTCGATCCCCAAGCGAGCGACAAGCGTGTCGACAATGATTCTGTTTTGAACGTTTGAGCATCAGCTTGGCGATAGACTAGCATAAATTTGGCGACTCTTTCTCCATGTTCTATACTCAAATCCATAGACTTCTAGTTTATCTATACAATATTCCAAAAGGCTCTTGACTTTAACAATTCTTTCATAGTAATTCTTTTATCTAAAAAATAGCCAATACACATCAAAGCCTAACAAACTTTCCCTTTGACAATCTGTGGCAAAACTATACAATACAAGTCAAGGAAATAAAAATAAAATTAATCTACTCAAACTCAAACTCAAACTGAAAGTCTTTCTCTAGCATTCCTTGTCAAACATCAAACATGTTTCTTGAAAATCAACAAGTCAAATACTATATTTAAAAGCACGTGAAATATGAAATATAACAATTAAAACACACTATTGTAAATATGCTAGCTAGATTGAGAAATAATACTAATGTTAAACAAAACACCAATTGGATTATTAACATGTCATCATCTTTCCCTTACTACAAACTTTCCCTAAAACGGCAAAATTCTATTATCTGTCTCCCTTTTTGTCATAAATGATGAAGGGAACTAAATCAAATGCAATAATCTTCCTTCTCTCCCTTTTTCGAATTCAAATATCATTATCAAAAAATCAAAAACAATTTATAATAATTCAAAGATGCAGTTGATAACATGAACAAGCATAATCAACGAGCAGTAATCTTTCCCACTTACTGAGTTCAAGTCAAAATAGAGTAAATTGTATAAGTGGGTCATGTGTATAAAGTGCCACTAATTCTTTGAAAGCAGAATTTCAAACCTTAATTTTGTGAGAAAAGACAAGCTAAATATCATTGTTAATAAGTTTATTCATGTACTTATAAAAGACTAACCAATCATAGCATACTAGAGCCTACAAAAGAAGCTCATTTTTATATATATTATTCTTCTCTCCTCCTGAATTTGAGCATATAAATATATATTTTTTTATGTTGAACCTCATCAAATTTTTTTTATCTAATTTTTCTCATCTCATCTATAATCTCTTCTCTATTAAGCGACTAAAATGATCCATGTAATAAGCTTTAAGTCGATTAATCTAAGTTAGATGACTATAGGCACAAGCTTATGAGAAAACGTTCAGACTTAATTGCTCGAATCAAATAGGCTATGAAGAAAAGTATAAGACATTGATCCTTTTCTTTTAAGGGAATATATTTGAGCTTAAGTCTACTGGAATAAGGTAAATTCATATTCAAAGTCACCTTACAAACATATATTTGATATCCCAAATTTCACACACACGGTTCAATCCCACTCACAATATCACAGTGTGTGCAATGCAGATGATACATGAAGAAACGTATATTAATTACTCCATAAAAACCTAAACACTTACTCAAAAGTATGCTACAACACATCAATTAAACTCATACTTGATTACAACACACATGTTCAAATGACTCATATATCATGCTGTAGTGTCAAAAAAATTTCTTATATATATGTGTGTGTGTGTGTGTGTAACACAAAAAAAAGTGCAAGTGCCTATGCAGACAAAACAAGATACATGCTATCATGAATAAGTACAATGAATAAAACATAAGCATCCACCAACAATATAAACTTACTGAGGCATAAAACTGCTCCCCCTTGAAGAGCAACACAACCAGCATCATCAATCTGAGCATTTCTTTGATTATAGAAATCTCTTTTCTTAACTCAGACTTGTCTAGTAGAAGACTTTTTTCGAGTTAATTGAGTCATTAAGTCGATCAATTGACTCATCTGATTAGTGAAGAAGTTAATCCGACTAACAAAATCATTTTTTCTATTTCTAATTCGGAGCTTATTACACCTAGGCATTATATGTTCTAACAATTGAAACGAGTAGGCATAAACCTAGGTCTAAAGTTATGTGGTCAACATGCTTAGGCCAGCTGGAGTTTGATGGCTCTTACCTTTGAATCTCCTATGTATTCCTTTTCTGAGATCTCCCAAGATTCATATTTTTTTTCTTTTTTTCTTTTTTTTTTAATTTTTTGTTGTTGTCATCATGATTCTTGGAAAGATAGGATTAACTACTTCCCTATGTAAAGTTGAAAGAGCATTAACATCTCTTTGCCCATCTTTTCTTATCTTTTTCTTCCCTACATCTGATACCCCTTCTTCATTCTCATGTTCTTAATATCCATTTTCAACCATATGCAAAGATCTATTGTCTTTAGGGATGACAATTTGAATTGTTAAAATAAAAAATCCCGGTTAACCAAATCGAATGTGACAAAAAAATCGAACCGATGGCCCAATAGGGTGGATATGGTGTTTGATTTTAATGCCCCTGTTCAGGGCTAGATGGGTATGGTACTGACGCTATCGCCCTACCCTGAACCGATTACCCGTTTAAAAAAAAAAAAATTGAACAATTAGGCTTTCCATTATTCTTTCCATGATTTTGTCTAGTCCAAAATTCTTGCTCATTATTGACTTGCTAAATCCAACTAACCTAACCTAGTAACCATGCACCCTACTACACAAATATTAAACTAATATGAAAATTGTTTGTTAAATTCGAATTTTGCATTTGGAAATGGGGATATTGTTTGCATTTTCATTTGGGATATTATTTGTTAAATTGACTTAGTATTGTATTTTTGTTTTCATTGACCTTTTTTTCATAAATTTCTTTCCCATTTAACAGCTGGACCTATAAAAAAATAATTTATTTTCGAAGTTATTGACTGTCGGGACCGAGCTGAACCGAAACCAACTTATGTGATTATGGTATGGCCAAAAAATTGGTGGTTCGATGATGATTTTGGTCGAACCAAACTGTTGAAGACTCTAAGTGTCTTCATCTTCACACACCAAAAATCATAATTTCTCCAATTAAAATTGGAACTAATGGCTACTGGACATTTTCACTTATGCTGGCCATGATTTTCTTCATAAAACCCATGTTTTTCTTTTTGTTTCTAATGGAAGTGGAAGAAATGAAGATGAACAATAAAAGTTACAGAGAAATGGATTCTAGAACTTTTCTTCAATAATTTCCTTTTAACAAGAGTAGACTAATTTAGACACTATTTAAGATTACATCTCACCCCTACTATGCCTATTTTTCTAACCATTGGATAAAAGCTAATTTTTAAGCCCATTAAATATTTAACAGTTTGGCCAGCACTTATTGCCGGCAAAGAATCTCAGATATAAGATTATTATAATTATTGCAATTCACCATGTTACCAACATGCCTTGGGAGAAGAAAGTGAATGAGCCAAATCACGATGCGGAATTAATGTGAGTTAAAAAATTGATCAACTAATGGTGCTAACTAAATAAATGAATTTTATGCCTAATTGTCATAATAATATGGAAGATGCTTGAGAACTCCTACAAATACTCACAATATGGTCGGGGTACAGGGGCGAATCCAGGGGTCAAGTTCAGCTAGGACGAGCCGTGAACGTTGAAAACTTACTATCGACGGTTAACGTCTGTGATAGTGGAGTTGTTTATTAATATTTAATTAAATAATATTCAAAAAGTCGTACGAATTAGAATTAGAAGTACTAGATACACCACTAAAACTAAAATTAGGTACGAACTTTCATTTTGGATGGAAAAATCATTCCATAATCTGTTAAATTTCCTAATTTATTTTTCATTTAAATAGGCAATATATATTAACAAAATGTCAATATTCAGTTTACAATTAAAGTTAATTAAGCAAGCATTATTATATTAACAAAATTGAAATTATTTATATGCTTTTATCAATTTTATGTGTTTGTATGATTCCACTTTTTGCAATTGATTTTTTTGTGAACGAAAATTAGAACATTTTATTAATTAAATAAGTATTGTTGAAAGATTTCTTATGACATTAAGGTCAATTTTCCTACAAATTCATCCACCACTAATTGACCAGACTCTCAAATCAATTGATTAGATGGGAAAAAAAAAAGAAAAAAAAAAAGAAGAGAGACAAAGCA